GCGTCAGCATCAAGTTTTAAGAAACCTTATCTTTGGCTGGATTCACCTCAAATGAGGAAGACTACTGGATCTATAAGAATGTCAGTAGGAGTGATGTAGTTGTCATCTCTTTGTATGTGGATGATATGCTAATTATTAGTAGCTCAATTGCTCTTGTGTCGGAAACAAAGAAATTCGTTGCACATCTTGATATGAAGGATCTAGAGGAAGCCTCTTATGTATTGGGCTTAAAAATAATAACAAATAGAAAGGAAAGAACAATTCATCTTTCCCAGTTGACTTACTTCAAAAGGATACCAGAAAAGTTTGCAATGGATAAATGTAAGCCCATGACAACCCAGATAGATAAGAAGACAAAGCTAAGCAATAAGATATTCCCTATTGAAGATGAAGAAAAAAACAACCATGGAAAGAATACCATATAGAAGTGCAGTAGGGTCCCTCATGTACACCATGATAGGAACAAGGCTTAACCTGTCCTATGCCATGAGCATGATTAGCCGGTTTCAATGCAACCTTGGGATTGAGCATTGGAAGGCGGTTAAGAGAGTTCTTAGATACTTATAAGGAACTGAGAACTACTCGCTTACGTTTAGAGGAGGATCGAAAATAACAATTGAAGGATATTCTGATGCAAGTTACCAAGGAGATCCAGATGTTGCAAAGTCCTCATCTGGATATGTGTTCATGCTTAGAGGAGAAGTTGTTTCTTGGAATTCAAAGAAACAAGATGTGGTAGCATTGTACACCATGGAGTCAGAGAATGTGGCATGTTGCATGGCAGCTAAGGAGGCTGTGTAATCGGCTAGAGTTTGAGCCTGTATGATGCGAGTGCGTGGGAATCTTCTATGACAACACATTTACGATCTAAAGAGCCACGATTCCATAAGAAGTCCAAGCATATAAAGCTTTGCTTCGATCATCTGCGCAATGAGGTGCGGTGTGGAGAGATCAAGATCAATTATATACCCACAGAGGTAATGATTGTAGACCCGCTTGCAATGGCGCTTGCTGTAAATGTTTTTGTAAAACATGTGAGAGACATGGGGCTGAGAAAGAGTAAGGAAGAGAGATTGTAAGGCGTTCAAAGGCCAAATAGGAGAATGTTGGGTTTATGTGGCCATTAAAGGCCTTTTGAGAGCTTGTAAATAGTGGAGCTTAAAATGAGTGGAGTGTGGTCCTGTGCGGACCATGAGATGCAAATGTTATTTGCCATAACTCAAGCTAGGCATCACGTGCTAGGCCAGTCGAGTTAGAAAACCCTTGATATCTGTGCATGGAATAAAAACCGATGCGGGTTATGGGTTATCCCTTGATGAGGTTGGAGTTGCCCATATGAGTGAGCCAAGGGACTGTGTGACTGTGTGACTTTTGTGTGATGGGACGATGGTCAATGCCTCATCATCGATCTGTCACACGGCATGTGCATATGATGGCTGTATTGTGAAAGCAGTTCACCATTGAGGGTGATGCATATGCATATGTGAGAGATTACTCCTATGCACCATAGAGTCTCGGGAGAACCTGGAATCCATAGACTGGGATTATATCCCCTTGCCTAGCCCAATCATGAACCTCTGCAGTTGATTGTGGATCATTGTTACTGCTGGGTCAGTCTGAGAAAGCAAGTGTGAATTATAGTCTAGGGTAGAAGATGGAGTGCTTCAGAATTATTAAATCCTAGACTTAAAAGGATCCTATTCCCATCAAATTTATTTTCCTAAATATTGATTAATTTTAAAATAACTTTGAAAATTTTATTGTATTTATTAAAATTAATTAAAATATTCAGAGAGAAATAAAATCATTATTTGACAATAAAATTAATTATTTTTTATTATTGCATGGGCTCATGGGGGCCCATTGGACCCCACCGAGATTTTCATGGGGGGGCCACTAGGTGGTCCTAGGTGGCACATCACTTTTGGTGGGGCCATGAGGGCCCATGCTCCACTTTGTGGAAGATCCACTTTTTATGGGATGTGGTGATGTTTTAAAGATGGGAGATTTGTTTTTGAAAATAATTTGAAAGATTGAAGTGGTTAAAGAGATATAAACAAGAAGAGAGTTTTTTTACTAGACATAATGTATCTAATATTTGAGTATATCTTTTACTTGATGGACAAGAGTCTAGGAACTGAAAGATAAGGTTATAGCTCCTTCTTTTTTATCATGATGGCTGTTTTGAGGAATGGATGTTTCAGATCTCGCTTCCACAGGTCTCCAAGTTCAAAAGGTCAAGATCTGATTATGTGATGGCTATCTCAAAGGAACCCTATCCCCTCTTGGAACTCTATAAATAGGGGCCCCCTCCCCTTCTACACATAATTCTCTCTCCTCTCTTTCTACTCTCTCGCTCTAGAGGGTTACGCCGTACTCTAAGCTTCTCTCCTCTCTAAAATAAGGTGGACACGCCCCATATAGTTCGAGATTAGCCTTATGAAGATCTACTTGCTCTCATTTGTGAAGAGATAGCCAAAGGTTTCCCTATTGAGATATGCGATTGACCTTTTGATCCCACACGCCATTAGAGGAGAAGGCCCGGTTTGGGGTGTTTTAAAGACCGGATGAGGTAATCTTCCGGCATTCTTCTGTTAATTTCTGCAATCCATTATCCCTTATATTCTTTTCCTTTAGTTTTGTATTCTCTTTTATTATTTAGTGAAACTGATTGTTCTTAGTGGCAGCAAGTGAGGGCCAATTTATTTATTTATTTTGAGTTGACTTAATTGTAAAGGACCATTGTAAGTGTTCTACTCGGTGTAGAAAAAAAAAAAAAAATAGTGTACATCATACTAGATCACCTTAGTCCTACTCTCATTATTGGGAGCATGGAAAGGGATAATGACTGCCTGCAAGCTTTTGTAGAAAATGTTAGGATTCAAGTAGGGGACGTGTGGAAGGCAAGATTTTGGCTTGCATGGCTTACCAATCAAGTTGTGATACTCAAAGCTGCTGTTACTTCCGTCCCAAATGCCAAAGTGTGAGAGGTGTTTGAGGGGCTTGGACATCTGATAAAATGGAGCGCCTGACATATCTTTTGGCATAGTTGCAAAAGTTTTTCTTTAAATTTGGGAAGGAGTCACTGATTTGGGCGCCCAAGAAGTCAATTTATCAAGTGCTTACTAGAAGTTTGGAGTAGTGGCTTACAAGGTATGCTGTGTCCCTGCCCCGTCTAAAACAATGGTCTTTGCTTGGTTAGCTGTTGTGCCCAGGCATTAACTATGGACCATCTCAGGAGAAAAAAGGCACATTCATTCCCAATATCTCTTTGATGGGCAAACAGGGCCCTGAATTAGTAGATTACTTATTTGTACATTTCACATTGATGAGTGCTATTTGGGCATTTGTGTTAAACCTGTTCGACTCTGTTGGGTTACTCTGCCTATGGTTGAAACCCTATTGTAGCAATGGTTAATCCACACACCGGCTCCCTTAGGATGGTCGTATTTGTTTGAAGCTTACTATGTTGGCAGTGTTGTGGCTACTCTGGATAGAGCAGAATGTAAAGGTACTTCAACGGCCACGGTCATGGAGAAGAAATAAGAAAAAGAGAAACTAAAACCGTAGTTGCATTGTGGGAAAAGATTAGTAGTGAATTCTGGGGTTATGCAATAAATCATTTTGAATTAAATGTTGGATATTGTGAAAGGTATATTCTGAGTATCAAAACATCTAATAGGTGGTTCCACTCCTGCAGAGTTTGTTAAGATAAATGGGGATACAGGTGCAGAAGGAGTTTGAGAAATGACTATAAGTTTTACTCTCTCTGGGCTGTTTCATCAATGTAACTCAGTTGTGGCTAAGGCTTGGCTTCTCTTAGTTGATGTCAGAAACTTAGCCCCAGAGTGGGAAAGTATTACCATTGATGGTGATTCAGCCATTCCGAGTACTTTGGCTAGCAAGAAAGAAAAATGCCAGAGGTTTTGATCTCTATGGCAGACAGTTTAGAACTGCAACCTGTCATTTTTAGGCATAAAAAGGGCAATAAAGAGTGTTTCGCCTTCTTCATCAATCTTGATTAGGAACAGCCTGCCCTGATTAGTAACCTGTTCACCGGCGGTCAGTGGCGAACACCTGTCTTACTTAAACAAAAAAGCGGAACTCTCTCCGCTACAAGCGGGCAGGGGGAGGAATAGGCTATTCTCTTTTTTAAATTGCATTGGCAAAGAGAAGTTGAAGTTGCATAGATTATTTGAAGGGTTCCCACTATTATCAACTTATTCAGAGGAAGTCCAACAAACCGGCTGAATCCCTAGCTAAAGCAGGAATATTCAAATCCTCAATTTCAATTACCATTTTTGGTAGACTAGGTGATGGTTAGAATTGAGGACTATTTTGTTTATGTTATTAGAGGCTTGGTCTCTTTTGCATAGGCTCCATTGATCTCGAGTGTCTTGTGCATTGGGCTATTTTGAGTTTTGAGTCAATTTTGTATAGCCTCCAGTTTGTATATAATCATTATACTTGTAAAACCATTTTTTAGTGAATAAAAAGTCGTTAATTCTTTTTTAAAGGAAAGTTTTGCTCTTAGTGGAGAACGCGCTGTGCATTAAGTCCAGGTATTGTTCTCCAAAAACATGAGTCTCTCTTTGGATGTTCCCTAAGGGGTTAATATTAGTATCTGATTCCTGGGAAGAATCATGAATGATGCGATATGCTTTGTTTATTTCATTAGAGCCTAGAATTACAGCTCTTTATACAGCATTATGGATTATAAAGTTACATGTATGATGATGCCCTTACGACTCTAGGGAGTGACAAACTACTCTATACCTGAGCATAGGAAAAGGCTTAATGCCCGTAGCTTGTAGAAGTGACAAATGTGGTCATCTTTTGTAGTTTACCAGTCTCTGCAAGTGTTTTTGTTTTCCTCTGTGATTTGGTGAAATCTTTCAATTTATGCTCATGACCTTGTTGATGAACAATTAGCTATCGCCATTAATCTTCTGTTGTCCATTTTCTTATATCTTGGGATTTACTGTTTATTGACTGTATAGGTGTCCTTGGGAAGATCTACTTCAGATGTTTCTGTTGATATTGATTTAGGAAGAGAAGGTCCTGCTAATAAGATATCCCGACGACAGGTGCAGTCCTCTATTGGATTCTTTGTCATTCATTCATCTCCTAGCATGCTAGTTAGGTATATTGAAATGCTTCTTTTCATTGAGTATGCTATCATTGTCTTTTATTTTATTTTGATGAATTTTTGTAGTTGGATGTGAAAAGATGTAGAAGATTCCTGTATTAGTGAACAAAAATGAATGGGGACAAAATGCGTATGTCTGTACAAAATTGGAGGGTTTAATGAAAGAAAAATCATCCCTTGAGGGACTGTGGTTAGGGTTGCCTATGGATGTGAATAGTTAGTCTTGTGACAACTTCTTTGGAAAGGGAATCAGCTGTGGAATTTGTCTCTCATCAGGAATGTTTGAAAGATAATTCGATGGATAGGAAAATGTGAAAAATCTGGTTGAACATGTAGTCCAGCCTCCAAGTGTAATAGTTGACCCCATGGGCTAACTAATTATGTTCAGCACGTCTCCCTTGGCCACCAGAGCTCCATGATCTATCAAACACTTCTAGACCAACTAACGGTACTTGGGTCCCACTTCCCATGTATGGTCTGTGGCCCTTACTGGTGAGCTAGATCCACTCCTATGGATCCCTGAAAATGTCACCATACCCAGTAGGCCTGGGTTTCCAATGGAGCTGTTGTCGAGTTAGTTTGATGACCCATGGCCGGTGCTGTCCATTAGGAGGATCTGGAAATCGTGAGTGTGATGAGAGCTTTACTATGTTTATGTGTTTCCAATGGGTATCAAGGTTCACTGATGAGAAAGTCTCAAGTTCCTTGAAGCCTTGTGCCCAAAAGATGATCATTGCGTTGAGGCAGTCTTTGATCAAACCTTTGTTTTTTGTATTGAAAATAAAGGTGTACCTGTTACCAAATAATAGGGCTACCTACAAACCGGGAGCTCTCTACAAAAAATTGGCTTTCCACAAACCGGGATTTCTATACAAATAACTGCCGATGGGCTATACAATACTAGTCCCAAAAACACATCCCGAGGCGAGTGTAGCCCTCTACACAGCAAAAAGGGGTAAGGAATGGTTTCAAGGAATGGACCAAAGGGTTCCCTGACCATTGTCATGTGAGGCTTCATACTTAGCCAGAGTGTCGGCCTTTGAGTTGCCCTCGCATCAAATATGTCTCCATGAGATGTCCATAAGCCTGCAAAAGCGAGAAATTTCATCAAAGATATGAGCTAGTGACCAAGGGCAGGCTGAGGAGCCAGAGGACCAAGAAATGAAGTTCTCGGAGTCCTCCTTCAATGATCAAAACTGAACTCTAGGAGCGTCGAAAAGTTTGAGTCCTTCGAGAAGGGAAGGGCCTTTGCCGATTGGGAGTTAACATGGCCGATGTGTTTTGAGAATAAAGCATGGGTCGCCTGTCCTTCACATTGTTTTAAAATGCGGCCGCATAGTGCTTTATGCGGCCTGAGGCGCATCCCCTCAGGGCACATATGTGCTTTTTGGGGTTGCACCTTCATATGTTGTTGCATCCCACCTCATCTATGAGCGCATTGCGCATAGCTCCCGCGTAGACTGCCCAGGCTTGGAGAAAATCATGCCCAACGAGTGTGGGCAATTATCCCCCCAGAAAAAGAGAGGAGGGGGGGAGGAGGAAGGGCTTTGGGGGGTACAAAACTCCACTAGACAAAAAACAGCCATGATAGTGGCTGTTTTATCATAAAAAACAGTAAAAAAAAATATTGGGCGATTTTTATTTTTCCCCCGAAATCGTAGAATTTCTTTGAATCTTGGTTGGGTTGTAGATTGGGATTAGCTTGGGTGGTGATTTTAAGAAGTTTGTCCATGGATTTGTCAACACATCAAGGGTTTCAAAGGCCGAGAAGATATTGAATTTGATTTCGATTGGTCGGCAAGTTTTTATTACCTAATACGTTTTTTTTTGGGGCAATGACTTTACAATCTTCGAATAACAAGGATCCGGCTCGAACTCTTCGTAGACTTTTAGTGGTTATGTGTGTCTTTACAGATTGCGATTTTATAGTTTTTTTCTTTCTTCTTTTGAAAAGTAAAAGGAGGTGTACATATTGCAAAAAATCGCTGCCCGCAGCTTAGGAGCACTATGCAACCACCGAGATGGTGGAAGAATAAAAAAATGCTATATAAGCGTGAGATAACAAAGCACGGATGATATGCGAAACACAACGACAAGTGGTCTAGAGCAATGCTTGCGAAGCACCCTCCTTGGCTAATGCGTCGGCCATTTGGTTGGCCTCTGACCAAGTATGTTTCCATAAAACCTGTGTATGCTTGCAAATATTTAAGATCTCATAAAAAACTGTTGTGGGTCTCCAAGGGGGAGTGACCTCAGGTGAGGCCCAGGAGATGACGTTTCTAGAGTCACCCCCAACAACCAAAACTGTGCTCGAAGTGTGGATTGAAGTTTTTAAATCCTTCCAAGAGCGCATAGACTCCCACCGCAGTGGAGTCCGCTTGGCCAATGGAAAGGACAAAGGTGAAAAGGGAAACTCCTTCGTGATTCCTGAAGATGCCCCTGATGCCTGTCGGGCCAAGGTTGCCGAGAGAGTACCCATGGAAATTATGTTTGGTCTAGCTAGTATTCGGTGGTCCCTAGAGGGATGAGCGGGGGATAGTCCTGAGCTAGTGGTGAAGGATGGCTAGCCAATTTAGATGGAACTCATATGAAGAGAGGAGCTTGAAGTGGTTGTGGTTGGTGGTGTTCTTGGTAGCTTAGAAGATCACCATAGACCTGATGGTCTCCTTTACGGCTTGCCGATGAGATATTTGTCTCTGGAAAATTCTATGGTTGCCTTCTCTCCAGATGGTCCATAAAGTTGTCAACCATTGGTCCATGGTAGGAATAGCATCTGGTGGAAAAGTTGGGGGCCAGATTCGAGAGTCACCCATGACCAACCGAATAATTGGAGCCAGTCTTCCCTCAATTGGTTTGCGATGCTGTAGTGAATAAAAAGCTGCGAATTTGTTTCCTCCTCCAGGCACTTAGCACAATGATTGATGATTTGTAGGCCTCGTCTTTGTAGTTGATCGGCCTTTAAGGCTCTCTTTGACAGGGCGACCCAATTGAAGACCTGAATTTTCAGGGAGATGAAAGGAATCCAAGCTTTGGCTATAATGGATTGACGAGGAGGGGGTTCCTCTGAAGGGGCAATGAGCCTATGTTAGAAGGAAGAAACAGACGCTATAAGGGGCAGGGGACCAAATGATTTTGTCTTCACCCAGGGGAGGAAAAAGGAAAGAATGGAGGATAGAAGAGAGTTCCAAGAAAGTAGGAATCTCATCATCATAGAGTTATGTTTGGAAATTTGGACTCCAGGCTTGAGAATTCACTTGAAGTATTACGTAATCCGCAACCAAGGCACTAGAGTTTTTGGCTAAGCGATAGAGGTTGGGGAAACGAAGCATCAGAGGGTGGTGGCCAATCCAAAGATTAGTCTTGAACCTAACTCTATTCCTAGCCTTGGGGAGGAAGCGGATGTAGGATTTGAACTGGTGGAGGCAGCGGAGAATAGATTTCCAGACCCCAGAGGAATAATAATAGTAGGCCCCGTCAGGGAGAGGCTAGGGGGAGAGTTGAGGTGGTAGTAACGGCGCACCTGATTTCAACAAATGGCCATCCTGAGTGGCCAGCCTCTACCACCATTTACTCAGTAACGCTACGTTGTTCATTTGTAGGATGTGAATCAAACCGCCTAGGGCTTTGGGCTTGCAAACCGTGTGTCATGGAATCAGGTGGTATGTCTTGGATTCCTTGTCGCTCGACCAAAGAAAGTTGCGCACCACAGAGACATGCATGTGAAAGAGTGACATTTTGAAAATGGGGATGTTCGTGAGAGTAGTCATGATGAATGTAGCTCTGCACGCAGAGGAGAGGTATCTCCCCTTCCAAGTGGCGAATTTGCAGCCCAATTTGTCGATGTAGGGCTCCGATGACTTTCTTGGATTTCCTGTGACACAAAGGCAATCCGAGGTAAGTGGAGGGAAGGGAGTTAGTTCTACAATCCCACCTATTTGGTGAAGGCCTGGTCTAGTGCAATGCCTATCATCTTAGACTTGGTGATATTAACCTTAAAGCCAATGGCTAAGTGGAAACATTTAAGGAAGAGGAGTAGGGTATCCACCTGTTGCACTGATGCATCACAAAAAAAGTAATGTGTCATCGGCGTATTTTAAGTGGGAGATAATGGGATCGTTCCTACCAATTTTCAAACCCTTTATTTAACTATGTTAATACATTCTAATAAGGGATTTGCTGAACACTTCGACAATTATGGCGAAAAGGAAGGGGGAGAGAGGATCTCCCTACCTTAGACCCCTAGAAGAAGAAAAGAGGCCTCAAGGTGAGCCATTGATGAGGACGGGAAAGAAAGGTTGGCAAATGCATCCTCTAATCCATTTTCTCCAGTGGCTGCTGAAGCCCATTTTGAGTAAGGTTTCCCCAAGCACGACCCAATTGACATGGTCGTAAGCCTTTCCCCAGTCCAGTTTGATTACCAGTCGCAAAATGTTGGAAGTGGTTCTGGAATGAATGCATTTATGGGCCACCATGTCCCCATCCAAGATCTGGCGGTCCTTGACAAAGGCACTTTGATGGGGGGAGATGACCTAATTAAGAACTAGCTTAAGTCTAGATGCGAGAATCTTGGCCAGGATCTTATAAAAACTATTGATCAGGCTAATGGGTCTGAAGTCTTTGAGTTCCTCGGCACCCTCGACCTTGGGGATGAGAGCAATGAATATGGCGTTCATGCCCTTATGAACGACTTGTTTATCATGGAATTCATCAAAGAAGGAGAGGTGTTAGTCCGGAGAGGCTCCCAAAATCGTTTTAAAAGGGCAACAGTCCTAGGGCCCAGTCTTGACCAAGGTCGTTGATGGCATCTAGGATTTCATCCTCGGCAAAAAGACGCTCAAGCGATAGAGCTTGATCTAGGGGGATGGACAAAAAGGTGAGGTCCGATATCTTGGAGGTGGGTCAAACCGGTGCTTGGAAAAGGTTTTGAATGTAGTTGAT